CCCTCTCCTCCCCTCCCCTCCCCTTCCCTCTGCTCCTCCCCTCCCCACCTTCCCTTTCTTCCCATCCTCTTTCTTCTTTCCTCAAATTTATTTTTTATCTGTGTATGTGTCTTGCCTGGATATATGTGAACCCTGTTCATACCTGGTGCCCACAGAGGCCAGAAGAGGGAGTTACAAATAGTTGTGAGCTGCCATGTGGGTGTTGGGAATAAAACCCTGGTTGTCCTCTGGAAGAATGGCCAATGGTCTTAATCACAGGAGCTCTCTCTCTCTCTCTCTCTCTCTCTCTCTCTCTCTCTCTCTCTCCAGCCCCTCTTTATCCTTTCCCCTTTCTCCTCTCCATCCTCTCCTCTTTTCTGGGTACAGGGTCTTGTGTGGCCTTGAACTTGTTATGTATCTAAGAACAGTCTTGAACTCCATTCTCACGCCTCCACGTGCTGAAATGCCAGGTGTGAGTCACTGTGCTCAGCCCAATGCTGTACGGGTCTTACTTGATGTACTTAGGGCTCTCCATGCATCAGCTTGGGAGACCCATGAGCATTTCAAACATGTTTTGCTGAAGACACTATATATGCACTTTGGTTTCTGGACACAAGGGTGGGAACTTTTTTTTTCTTCAGTTTTTCAATACAGGGTTTCTCTGTGTTACAGCTCTGGCTGTCTTGAAACTCACTTTGTAGACTAGGCTGTCCTTGAACTCACAGAGATCTGCCTGTCTCTGCCTTTTGAGTGTTGGGATTAAAGGCATGTGCCACCATCACTGGGTTGGAGCTTCCTTTTTTTTTTTCTTTTTAAAAGAATTTATTTATTTATTTATTTATTTATTTATTTATTTATTATACAACATTCTGCTTCTATGTATATCTGCACACCAGAAGAGGGTGCCAGATCTCATAACAGATGGTTGTGAGCCACCATGTGGTTGCTGGGAATTGAACTCAGGACCTCTGGAAGAGCAGTCAGTGCTCTTAACCTCTGAGCCATCTCTCCAGCCCTGGAGCTTCCTTCTTGATGGCTAGCTTTTATAGTGCCAGAATGCTGATGGCTAGAGGAGAAAATTCATCAACAGTCTTCCTCAGCTGTGACCATTGCATGATATACTAACAACCTTCCAGGGAAGATGTGTCCACCTGTATAGCAGTGCATGATTATTAATGGGGATGACCAACCACTGTCTGACTGAATATGAGCTGGCTTCCCTGGAGGGGGAATTCGTGTACTATAACCCTGGTCAAGAGCAGCCTGAGAAGGGCAGAGGCCCTGGTGGGAAGCTACTGCTGGTGTTTAGCCAATGGATATGTTGAGTGCCTCAAATTGCCTTCTAAGTATTTATGATTATACCCATAATCCAGTGCTGCTCCCAGCTTCAGTCAGAGGTTTTTTTTTTTTTTTTTTTTTTTTTTTTTTTTTTTTTTTTGCAGAGGGCATCATAATGGCTAAAGTACTGAGAGTAAGAGGTCATCATTTTCTTCTTTAAATGGGACCTCTGTGTGTCATCCACTCCAAGCTTCAGGAACATCACTTAAGATGGAAAGAAAGACTAGAAGAGCCAGAGGATGGGGGAGTGCTGTGAAATGCTGTCCCCTCCATAGGATATGCTGGTTACACTTAGGAACTCACAGCCGCTGTGGTTACCTGCACAAGATTGGGCCCATCAGCCGTCTACCATGGATGTGGGAGGGGCATATGAAGTCCCACCCTCCCTGAGGAGCTACTGATAATTCTTGTGGCTGGAGGAGAAGGAAGCATTTTCTTCAGTGGGGTAGTCACGGGTATGTTGCCCATAACCCTTCAGCCATGGTCATGTAAGCACCCGCTAGTCAAATTCATGAAAGTAGAAGGGGGCTGTTTGAGAAAAGGAAGGGCTCAGCATCAGTAAGGGGACAAGAAAGGGCGGTGGGTGAATGCCATCAAAGTGCATTATCTGTGTATGACAATGCCACAAGAACCATTATTATGTATGATGCGTGCTAATAATTAAATGTCAACTCCACTCTGCATTAACACAACAAAACAGGCTGGGCATGGTGGTGCACACCTTTAATCCCAGCATTTGGGAACAGAGGCAGGTGGCTCTCTGAGTTCAAGCTTGGTGAGGTCCATAGTGAGTTCTAGGCCTGCCAGGGCTACATTGTGAGACTCCACACACACACACACACACACACTCCAAAGAAAGAAAACAAAAACCATGTCTTGAAGCTTTGCCCACATTCTAATGGGAATTAGTGGAGGAAAGTAAGAAAAAAACAACCTGAGTGGTAAAATAATGTTTTATTCCATGGATGACAAACGCTACCATGCCACATCCCTGTGGCCCTCCGCCATGTTCTTTCAGCCAGAGCGCCCCATTTCAGATCGCCTGGGCTTTGCTGTCAGCCAAGCCTGTTGAAGTGGTGAAAACATGGTCTGTCTGTCAGCATGAGGTCCCTTCTCACCAATGCAAAACCCCAGGATGCAACTTTCCCAACAGACCTAACAAGAATCAACCAACGCTCCAAGCTCGTGTGGACAGAACCAAAGCCCCCAAACATAAACATAAAAAAAAAAAATCAACATGGACACATCTCCGAGGACAGGGTTTCAGGACACCCCAGCAGGAGTGGAAACTGGGGTGATCAGTACTGATACACAGGTTGTCAACAATCCTGAAAGGAAATGATGGCAATTGATATATTTCAAACTAGCACTTCTGGAGAGGCCAGATCAGCCTGAGAGGTGTCTGCATGCAAGCTCAGCACAAGGTTAGCGCCGTGGAGGGGGAGGGGACTGCACAACGCCAGACACACGTTTCTTGCTTTATATACAATGAAATGAAATATACATGGGTGATGGTGATCACGCACCTGGTCAGTAGTGTTATCTTACAGGGCTAGTGAGATGGGGTGGGACTCACTGATGTCACTGTCAGAGCAGGAGGGTGGTGCCAGCCCTGGGGCTGGTGATGACAAGGGCTTACTCAGTGTACCTAAGAGTGGAACCAGTGTTCTGTCTTGTGATATTTAACCAAATGTCACCTGAATAGACGGGACAACTGATTGAGAGGGAAAAGGGCAGTAGTTTTAAGGACACATGTGATGGATGGTGGATCCACAGGCAAGTCCTAGGGCCACTGGGGGAAGAAGGTTTAGTGAGGGCTGCTGTGCGCTCTGTGTCCTTGGTGTCTGCAACACCTCCACCAAGTCTAACAGAGACAGCAGATGTTCCAGAATGATCTCTTTATCCAAACAGGTACAACATGGAAAGCATAGCAAAGCAACAAAGACAAAGAATACTCAGAGAGGGACAGTCTGGGAACAGAGACAGTGGGGTGTCCAGTTAAAACCATAGAAAAATACAAAGTAATTCTACAAGGTTAACCATGGGCAGAGCTATAGTCTTACTTTATACATAAAAGACCTGTTTTCTGGGTGCAGTTAGGGACAGTGGGGGCTCTTCTAACCACAGAGAGGGGCCAGGCATGTATGAACACTGCGGAGACAACCATGCTGTCCTGTTCCCACGGCGCAGCTCTGTCAGACAGGAAGCCAGACAGGACTCACAGTTGAGAACATGAATGCAGTGTATGAATGCAGACGGTGAGACCAATGTTACAGCGAAGCTTGAACTTAAGGGCTGGTTTTCTTGGGCTCAGAATGTGCCCTCACTGCCATATGTCCTTTACTTTGTCCCCTTGGGGGAGGGACATGGGATGTGCCAGTCATTGGGGGCCAGGAGGAGGCGGAGCCGCTGAGGTGGGGTTGTTCCAGACTATGTGGTGACTTGTCTCCACCTGGAGCTTGTTGCCCCCACCGAATGGCCTTCCGTATCGAGACACATGCTATGGAACGCCGTGACACCCCCACTTCCACTGCCCTTGGAGAGAGGGTGGTGGCGGGGAGGGTTCCTCAGTTGCATATTGTTGTAAAAAGAGCCATGTCTGTGCTTAGGTCTCAAGCATGGTTAGTCCTCCTCCTCGTCCTCTTTTGCTGTGGCTGGCGGCAACTTGTCTTGGATCCTGAAACATTCCACAAAGAAGTTGATGATGGACCGGTACAGATGTTGCTTGAGCGCCACGCTGTGGAAGTAGTGGCTTTCGTCCGGGTATATCTGTCAAGGGAGAAGAGTGAGGTTACTCCTCGACAGTTCCCCTGTTAAAGGGACTTCCGGGGGCGTGGAGGATGAGCTCTGCACACTGCATTCTAGCTGCAGGATGAATGCCTAGCCACTGGGGTCCCAGCACCCGTGCCCCTTTCCTCTGGGGAGCTCTGCTTCTGCACGAGGGCTCTTGCAGTCCCAGCAGGTCATGGAAACTGACCAGTCTCCCCAACTCTCCTCCCTTGGCATCTGTCTTCCCCTCACCAAGAGCAGTGGGTGCAGTAAGGATCGGCTAAAATGGAAAACACCCCACTTAGACTTCCTGGCAGAGCTGCTTGTACTACTTTGCAACCTGGGTCCACAAGAGGAGGGCGGAGGGAGGGAGGATGAGGATGAGGTAGGGATGGGAGTGGGTGAAGGAGAGGTAGGGGGAGGGAGAGGGAGGGAGAGGGGGATGAGAGGGAGGGAGAGAGTGTGTGCGAGTGAGTGAGAGGGGGAGAGGGAGGGAGAGAGAGAGACTTTTGGCTGAGTGTGGTTCTCAGGATGGGAATGAGCCCAGGCTGTCTCCTCTCTGAACCCTCACATGATGGCTTGGTATACACCCACTCAGCTGGGTCTTGGGTCCAGGTTATATGGGAAGGAAAATTGAAGAGAGACTGGCTCTTTTGTCCTTCCTTCCTTCCTTCCTTCCTTCCTTCCTTCCTTCCTTCTTTTCTTCGTTTTTTTCTTCTCTTTTCCTCTTCCCTCTGTCTGCTTCTCGTCCTTCCTTCCTTCCTTCCTTCTTTTTTTTGGTGAGAAACGAATATTGCAACACCAGAAGGCAGAAGGACAGGCTTGCGACAAGGGAGGACTGTGTCAGGTAGGGGCTCTTTAGTGCTGGCTGGTGCAATTACACAACCTGTCCTCCAGGGGCACTGTGCGGGTTCTGCATGCACACAGCACCAGAAGCCAAGTGTGAGTTGAAATCTTGCTCTTTCTTTATCTGAGCCCAGTCTCATTCTGAATCCTGTATCCTTTTCACACCTTTGAGAGTAGCGTTCATCTTTATTTTTTTAATGATGCCATTATCCTCGACGATGTAAGAAGGCAGTAAGGCAGCATGTCTCCCCTCTTGCATTGTTCCCTGTCCCTGTGCTCTCCCCTGGAGCTTGTGATGACTGCAAACTTTTGAGGCATCTGCTGTGTTGGCATGCGTAGCCCCAGGTGAGTCCTTTCCTCAGCACAGGTGCCATGGTGTGTGTACAGTGCACTTAAGCAAGTCTTTCACCCCATTCAACAACTCTCAGGACAAAGCCTCTCCCTTATCCAAACCCCCGCCACCCCACCCCCCACACACGACTGCCACAGGTCATTGGCTGCTGAATGCAGAGGTACCAGACATGCTCTCTCTGAGGGAGACAGGGTACCCGCTGCTGAATGCAGAGGTACCAGACATGCTCTCTCTGAGGGAGACAGGGTACCCATTTGCCCCTGAAGTTTAAGTGACAATGAGGTTATAACTGTTTTATCAAAGGAGCTAGAGAGCAAGAAGGAAATGAGAGACATTTCCAGCATCATTCCTGTGCATTGCTGGGAAGAGGTAGGGGTGAATACCAGTGAAGACCATCATGGGTTTGGGTTCTGGGATGGGCAGTGCTTGATCACAGACCCAGAGGATAGGGGTGCTTGGGACACTCTCGGGAGCTTTTGCCCAGAGAGAGTCAGAAAGAGAAGACTCAATACTCACCCATAATGGGACAGCAGCCCTCCCCACACCTACAGCACACTGCCAGGGCCTGCAGTGCTGACTTGGCCCTCGCTGCTTAGAAGAGGAATGTGGGGCAGGGTGGCGTGGAGTGGTGGTGGCTTGGATACAGATCTGAACAGTTATAAGTCGAAGGGGACTGGCATGATCTGATGTGGACACTACTCAGCCTTGGTCCCATGGCAAGGGCCACCTCTAAGTATCTAGCAGGTAGCAGTCCATACCTGTAAGCTGTAATTGGCCTTTCCCTTGATCAGCTGTGTGATGAGCTCAGCTGTGTGCTGGAAATGGATTTTTTCTGTAGAAGAAAACAAAACGTTTGCCCAAACTCATGTCACCACCCAGGGGAGCTTCAGCACAAGGGGGCCTGGGGGCGGGGCTCCGATCTCACCATCAGCTGTGGCGTGGATGATCAGGAACTGCTGGTCCTCCAGCGCTGACACGCGGTGTGCCAGCTTGGTCATCTGCATGTGTGGGGCAAGGGGACAGAGTTAGCTGTGGGGAGGGCGCAGGGAGCAGGGGGGCGGGGTGGGCGGGGTGGGAGCATTGATGGGAGGGGTCAAAGGAAGCGGAGAGAAATGCCGCGCCCCTGGAGATCTGGGCTGCCTGTGACAGGGGGAAGCGATTCCCTTAGAGAAGGGGAAGGAGAAAGTGAAGGGGCTTCTCCAAGAATAGGTGGCCTTAGAGACCCATCATGTCACCCAGCAACACTGAACAGCCTTGTCCCTCTCTGTCCATGTCCTGACCACAGGGCTCTGGCCTTCTGCCTGTGCACGGCGGATGCAGTAGTGAGAAACACAGTTCACCCTCCCAAAGGGGAACTGGCCTTGATGCAGGGAGCAGGGGCCCCAGCAGCATCACGGACTGTCTCATCTCTCACACCCGTCAAAGCCGACCATGAGGAAGATGAGTTTACAGAGGCCACATTAATCCTGTTTAGTGCAGTGCGGGGGATGATCCCAACGTGTTGATGGTAGACCTTGGAAGGCAGAGTGGGTGGGAGTGGGGTGGGAGGAAGGGGAAGAATAGACTGACCAATTTCACCTGGCTCCCTGTCTTGCCAAATAGCGGCTATGCCAAACATACCTCATATGCTCTGTTGTCGAGTCCATGGAGGCCAAGGTACCGCTCAGAAAATGCAGAGGCTGGACAGAGGCAAAGGGAAGGGGTTATCCCTGGTCCTCAAGAGCTCCACTGGGGCAAAGTCCAGGTGGAAGGGATGAGGCTGCAGGGTGGGGCTGTCTCCTTGCTACTTGCATGGTAAATGCTAGGCTTTTTGTTTTTGTTTTTGTTTTGTTTTTTTTTTTTCAGAGAAGATCTCACTATGTAGTTTTAGCAGATCTGGAAACTGGATGTGTAAGCCAGGATGGCCTCATAATCCCAAGTACTAGAATTAAATGTATGCAGCACAGTGGACTTAAAATTTTAGGATTTAAAAGCTGTCTCCTAATCTCCTACATCATGGCATGGGAGTCAAACAGTGTGTGTGTGTGTGTGTGTGTGTGTGTGTGTGTGTGTGTGTCTGGGGAAGATGCTTAAATGTGTCATCCCTATCGGATTTCTCTAATCATTTTAGGTCCTGGTTTTGCACATGACCTGATATATGCCAGGTGACACACGTTTCCACAGCATTGTTCTGCCAGGACAATCAGGGATGAGGACTCACTTTGATGTCATAGGGCTTCTGGGGGAAATCCTTTGTGAGTTGGGGGGCAATGGAAGAGACTCTGTGATTTGTTAAGATACAGGTGGGCTGGGGAGCTCAGCAGGACAGGGCCTGCCTAGCATGCATGAAACCCTGGCTCCTACACTCAGCACTGAACAAAAGCAGTGTGTGTGTGTGGGGGGGGGGAGTTTGGTCTAATTTCTGCATATTTGAATCAGGCAAATTTGGAATAGCATGAAGACTTTAAGAAATTAAAGTCTCATTGAACTTGAACAATCCAATACACTACACATATTCCCATGGGAAGGCTATTTTGGAATTGAAGCAGGAACATTCTTCTTCTTTTTTTTAAAGATTGTATTTATTATGTATACAACATTCTGCTTCCATGTATATCTGCACACCAGAAGAGGACACCAGATCTCATAACGGATGGTTGTGAGCCATCATGTGGTTTCTGGGAATTGAACTCAGGACCTCTGGAAGAGCAGTCAGTGCTCTTAACCTCTGAGCCATCTCTCCAGCCCGAAGCAGGAACATTCTTAAAGACAGGTCAATGACATTTGGATTAGAGCTGTGAGGACCTGGTCATGAGCCCCTCAGAGGCTTCTGGATCAGTGCCCCACCCAGCCCGGGTCTGCTGCATGGGGCCCACAAGTGCTAAGGAAGGGAGCATGGACTCAGGAGGGACACAGGGAAGAGCACCGCTCCCACAGCAGCAGACTTAAGACAGAGGCCCTTGATTGTTGGCATCACTTAATATGGGGTCCCTTGGGGCTCACAGCCTGGTGCCCAGGAGCGCTAAACAGAATGTGTGTTCCCAGAGCCTCTTAAGATTTTGTGTTGAGTATTGCCAAAGTCACCTGCTGCCAGAGAAAGGGATGGCTGGCAGAGAGGACAGTTCAGGGCTTGGGACTCTAACTGTACAGGTCAGGGGCCATGTCTAGTAGGGCAGATGGCTCTCTCTCACCCTAAGTGATCTCAGGTCAGGTGCCAGGTGCCACCTGTGGGTCTGGATGGAGGCAGGCAGAAGGAGCCCAGTTATTTAGACTCCCACTGGATTCTCTCCCTGGAGTAGTGATACCCTCGTCATCACCAGTGTTGTCTGTGTGTAACTACCCACCCCACCGACCTTCTTCCTCCTTCTGTACTTGCCCAGCGCATACATTCCTGCAGCAGAAGAAAGATAGCCTAAGCATTGCTACCTGCCTCCTCCCCACTTGTATGGACAGGGTTTTGTGAAGTCATTACTGTGAGCTGGCCTTGGATTTTGGAGAGTGATCATTGTCCCTTGGTGGACTGACCCACCTTCACAGCAAACAATGACCAGAGACTTCCCTTCTGCCCCAGGGGGTCACTATATACTGAGGGTGCTTGCAGATGGGCACAGAGGTATGGGAATGGGGGGGTATGCTGCAAGCTCAACCCTGGGTCTCATCAAAGCCATTACCGTAGAGTTTGAAGTCTGTTATTGGAGAGAGCGCTGAGCCGCAGGTGAAGGTCTGCCCTTGATTTTCTCCCTTGGCTGGGAGGATATAAGTGCTCAGGTAACCACCATAATCCTAGGAGACATAAGAGGGAAGAAAAGAGGCAAGGGGCAGGGTCACTATCCACAATGCAGTAGGAAACTAGCCTCAACCTGTGAAGGCCAGCCCCTAATGTGTATGTGTTCATGTAGTTTTTCAAAGATTTGAACTTTAAATATACTTGTTGTGCAATAAATGAGAGACTAAACACTTCCCTGGTTCCATGCTGTGTGACACGGTCTCCCCCTTTTCGGGACCTAGTGCCCAGAGACCTGGGATAAGTGTGCTAGTGACACGGAGATCCTCACATGAGGTCACACCCCCTGCTAGGATGGTGACGGAGGAAGGCTGGTGTCCAGCATTCCAGCCCAGCCTCCCTTTCACTTCCTTATCTACAGCTGGTGCCTGTCTCTGTGCAATCCCTCAGAAGCTGAACCGGAGCCCAGTGACAGCAGGGTGGAGAACAGGCCTGCATGACACCCAGCCTGGGACTTCAGGAAACCCTAATATGTGTCCTGCAGGTAGGGTGAGCCCTTGGCACCTATGTGACCTGACTGCTGGGCATGGGGAACTCCAGCATGGGTCTCATAGCTGGAGCTGTACCCTGTCACTGTCTGGCACATTCCAAGTATTAGAGTCTGCTGAGAAAAGTCAAGGGAATGGGACGGATGTCACACTCTCCTGAGTACAAATGGGCTGAGAGATCTAGGGGTCAGTGGAGGCTGCAGAAGGCTTGTGTGAGTAAGTGGGTGTATGAGTGAGCATGAGAGAGAGACAGAGAGAGAGACACAGAGAGAGACAGAGAGACACAGAGAGAGACACACACACAGAGAGACACACACACAGAGACAGAGACAGACAGACACATACACAGAGACAGAGAGAGATAGAGAGAGACACACACACACACAGAGACACACAGAGAGAGACACACATTCACAGAGAGACACACAGAGAGACACACACACAGAGACAGAGACAGACAGACACATACACAGAGACAGACAAGAGAGAGATAGAGAGAGACACACACACACAGAGACACACAGAGAGAGACACACATTCACAGAGAGACACACAGAGAGAGACACAGACAGAGACACACACACAGAGACAGAGAGAGACACACACAGAGAGAGAGACACAGAGAGAGAGGATTGAACATTTGTGAGCACCTGTATATATGTGGCCATATAAGCAAAGGAACATATGACCATGCGAGCATGTGTGCTTATATATGTGTGTGTGGGCACACAGCTGAAAAAACAGCTGTATGCATATGAATGATACTGTGTCTGTGTCCTTCCGTGAACATGTGAGCTCATGTGTGTATGTGTGAATGCATGTGTATGAATGTGTAAATGTTGCTGTGGTATGAACATGTTCGTTTGAGACTCTATGTGAACATGTAGCTCTATGAACGTGTATGTGTGTGCACACTCATGTGCAAAACTGGGTGTGCAGACCATGGCAACATGGTGTGTGGAGAATCCCACAACTGATGAAGCCTGGGTGACAACCATATCATGCCAAGCTCTCCATTGGTTTGATAGTTTGTTATATTATGTATTGTAATGGTGTTTCTTTTTTTAGGCAGAGCAGAAGAATCTTGTCACTGTCTTTAATTGACAACAAAAGCATTTCAATTTTCTTTTATCCTTCCTTCCTTCCTTCTTCCATTTCCTCCTCATCTTCCTTGTCCTTCTGTAGACAGGACCTTACAATTTAGCACAGGCTGGCTTTGTGCTGGGGTTATAGGTGTGCACCACGGCACTGGGCACATCATTTTCTAGGAAGCAATATATTTTGACTCTACATGTTCCTATAAGTCACTCTGCATTTCTTTCAAACATTTTCCCCTAGTGGGCCTTCAGGTTTTAAATGACAGGCTGGTTACACTTTGCATGGTGGCCTGCAGTCTCTGCCAGAGCTCACAGGACACAGCTCACAGATGTCCCCTTGTGTGTGTGGAGCAGACACTGCTGCACAGGGCTCCCTGGCCCTGAGCTCCCTCATTGTGGGGGGAATGGACACACAGAGCCAGGCTGCACATATCTCATGAGACAAGAGGAAAGGTCATAGAATGCCAAAGTCCTGAAAGAAGTGATGGCACCTGGGGCTGCTGAGATGGCTCAGTTGGTAACGGCACTTGCGGCTATGCCTGAAAACCTGAGTTCGGTCCTTGGGATCAACATGGTGGAAGGAGAGAAGCTACATTCACAGGTTGTCCTCTTATCTCCTTAGGCATGCTATAACTTGAGTGCCAGACTTCACACACACACACACACACACACACACACACACACACACACACACACACACGGATACACACACACACGGATACACACACACACACACACACACACACACACACACATACACACACACACACACACACACACACACACACCCCGCCACCCCACACACACTCTTGAATCTCAAGCACTAATAAAGAATTGAAGGCCCATGCTGGGCACCCTGGCAGAGAAGGGAAGTGGGGAACCCGAATTGGAGGCTCACAAAACCTCTGTTTAAGATACTTTTAAACAAAGCCTGTGACACTAAGCAAAGTGCGAGGCCCCACTCAGCAGACCAGGAAATGCAAGCAACCCAGGCTACTGCTTGCCTGTCTCCAGCAGTGGGGGAATGAATGGCATCGGAAGGTGCACGGTCCCTCCTCACATGGCACACTTGACTGCCTGTGTACCCCAGCTAGCCACACTCTGATAAAGCCCACTGACAACCGGATGACCCTGGGCCTGCTGTGACCAGAGAAAGTGACATGGTCCCAGTGGGCGGTACTGCCTGAGGCAAAGGAAGAAGGCCAAGCTAAGCGGGCTTCCAGATGGGTGCACTGGCGTATGTTTGGGGAGAGTGAAGCTCAATGTAGCCTCAGGCTCTGTCTCCCTCACTTCTGCCACAGGGGTATTAGAAAGTCAGGAATTAGAAAGACAGGGCTAAGGGATGTGGTGAGTATTGACTCCCAGTTAAGTTTCTCAGTGATCTAGCTGGCCCTGGTCTGCTCACAGGCAAGAGTGTCTAGAACAAGCCTCAGGGCCATCTCGAGGCTCTGTTCTGCCTCTGAGCCAAGAGGAGAGAGCCCACGGTGGTTGTCCCTGAGGCCTCGCCTCTGCAGGTGCCCAGGTAGATTGAAGTTCAGATAAAGTGACTCTGCAGGCTCATGTTTGGAACATGAGGCCCCAGCTAACAGCACTGCTCTGGGAGACCATGGAACCTTTTGGACATGGGCCTAGCTGGCGGGCATTGACTGGGGCCATGAACACCCTCTTTAGGTAAGAAGGGATTTTGGGATTCTAGCTCAGGTGTTAAAATATAAGGTCACTGCCAACAATACTCCTGGCCACAGTCCTTCTGCTTCCTTTACTTCCCGACCCCTTACCCACAGATTATGTAATGCAAAAATTCCACAACCATGGCTGTTATGCCTTCCTCATCATGGAGCTAGGAGCCAAAATAAACCCTTTCTCCTTCAGGTTGCTTTTGGTGAAGTATTAGGTGAGAGCCATGAACAAAGACAGGCTCTGTTGCACCTGTCTTTGGGGTGTCCCACATGATACCATCAGGCCCCCAGCGCGTATTCTGGTACTGACTGGGGGTGCTCTTCTGAAGGGGTGGGGCTTCCACAGGAGGAAAGAGGTGCACAGCCATGAGCTCTTGGCTTTCTTGAGAGTAAGGGGTCTCCAGGCTAGGCTGTATGAGGAGGGGAGGGTGGCCTACTCTGTCATACAAGTGGCCCTTGGAGACCTAACTCCCATCCCCGGGCCTTCACTGCAGTCCAGATGGGCCAGCCGAGGCTATGCCATGAACTGCCAGGTGGAAACTGCCACAGGGAACCCACAGTCTTCCCTCCATATGAGCAAATGTGGGGATTAGTGTGGTTGTACATGGGAGGACACCCACACCCTGGATCCCATTCCCTCCTGTCCTGGAGTACCCTCCAGAACTCACCAGGCTCTACAAGGGAAGAAACGAGGAGGTCAGTGGAGTTCTCTGAGAAGGGCCTGGCCTGCTTTCTCTCCTTCTAGGTCATGTGACAAAGGCCAAAGACAAGCCCTCCCCACAAAGCTTCAGTCACTAACCTCTCCCTCCTTTCTCTCCCTCTCCCAAGGCCACAGGTGGTGGTGGTAACACACAGTTCTGCACTCCAAGCCCTAGAAGTCACGACAGAAGACAGCATGACTCACCTTCCCAAACACAGCCACCCGTGTCTTGTCAATGTATTGCTCCTTCAGCATGGTCCTGCAGGCAGAGGGAAGAGAGGCGTGAGACCTATGTGGGGCTTCTCTATAGCCTGTAGTCCACAGCCATGTTGATCTGCCACAGCATGGATGAAGAATTTCTGTAAACTAGACAGGATCCTGGGATTCTAAATGCAGTTGGTTACTGTATTTATTTATTTATTTATTTATTTATTTATGCTCACTGTGCTCACATTCTAAATGCAAAGCACCCTGTTGAGGTTTAGAGGGGACTCCCAGCTTGCAACCTTGGAAGCAGCAGGGACACCAGAGGCCCTGCCCCTTTTGCCGCACCCTTGCACTTCCTGCCACCTTCCCTTCTGTGGCAAGGTGCTGGTTTATGGGACCTTCCTCACAGGGGACTTTATATCCATCAGGATGGCTCCAGGAGTATATGAGCAGGTGGAAGACATCCAGAGCTAGAGAGCTTCAGGAAGTTACTGGTCTCTTGTGTGTGAGTGCCTGTGGTTGAGAAGTGACATTACTGATTTTTTTCTAGAGCACATTTGCTATTGTTTTTCATTAGCTGTTGGGCTCACTCCATCTTTATAGAGAATGAATGAAAACAGCCTCCATCTCTTTGTCCCTAAGCTCTGAGGGAATGACTCCAGGGACCACATGTTCACAGGTGAGTCTGAAGGACTTCTGATCTTTCTTCTGTGTTCTCCATAACAGGGAGGAGACACCGAGCCTCAGTGGGACGAGGTAAGCCAGATGGAATGAAATAAGAACAGAAGACAGGGAAGGAGACTAGGCAGGAGGGCAAGAGGCAAGGACAGTTCTCTATCCTAGAATGGTTCCTGTGAGCCCCCGCCAATCCCAGCCTGTCAAATGCTGCCTCCCTATCCCTGCGAAGTCTGCCTTGTGCAGTGTGGGTACCCAGCAGCCACCTGCTCCTCCTCCTTACAGACAGAAGTATTCTGTCTGTATTCATTTGTCCCTGTCCTTCCTCTGACAGGAATTATCTCACACCCAGAATCCGGGTCACCTGGTCTCCTGGAAACCCAGCTTGCTGTCTGGTGCTGCAGCTTGCTGTCTGATGTTGCAGCTTGCTTGCTGATGGTGTGCAGCCTTGCAACCATTCTTGGCTATTTCTTGCTTGTGTGTGGGGTTCTGGGTTCTGGATCACAAGGGCAAGTCCAGGGTGACAAAATGAAGGTTACAAGGCTGCTTTCAAGTCACAGAGCTCTTTCTCCCTTTCTGGAAGTTTCTGGAAGTATCTTCTGTCTTCCTGACCAGCTAGTAACATTGAAAGACTGTGGAAGCTGATATCATAGACATGGCTATCTTCAACTGAGAAAAGTCACTGGGAGTGAGACTGTCTTGTTTGGCTGCATAGATGGACAGAGCCTGCATCTTCTTGACACTGCTGGTCTCTGGAGCTCCAGCCCTGGGGTCTGCCGTCTCTGTGGACCTTCAGAGCCTACAAGGCTCCTTGCCTTAAAGGCAAATACGTGTGTGTGTGTGTGTGTGTGTGTGTGTGTGTGTGTGTGTGTGTGTGTTGTGTGTGTGTGTCTGTGTGTGTGTGTGTGTGTGTGTGTGTGCTGTTGTTGTTGTTGACTTCTGTCAAAAGCATCCACACAGACATGCCTTCCATGATGGGCTCTTGAGATGTTCCCGTCTGTGCCTTCTTATTTTGTGTATATGGAGGTTTTGTCTGTGCACCACGTACATGTAATACCCTCAGAGACCAGAAGATGGCATCAGGTTCCCTAGAACTGGAGTTAACAATTCTGAGCTACCAGCTACCATGTGGGTGCTGGGGGTTGAACCTGGGTCTTTTGGAAGAACAGCCAGAGCTTTTACCTACTAAGCCATCACTCCAGCCCATGTGATTTCTGTCTATAATATTCATGGGATTTGAAGACATCATCTTGTCTATCTTTGGCTGGCTCATACTCCCTGGTGTGGCTTGAATCTGAACTCTCCTCCACAAGCTCACGTTCTGAGCCTTGAACACTTGCTCCTTGGGTGATGGGACTGTGTGGGGAACTGTGGATCATTTAGGAAGAGGGTCCCAGATGGTGGAAGTGACGTATCAGGGGCAGGCTTCTGAAGATGGTGCAGTTCAGCCTAGATACCACTATATGAAGAGCAGCCTCCACAAGCTCCCAGCTGCCAGGAACCTTGGCACACCTCCCCTGCCATGACGGACTGACTTTCCTGAAACTGTGAGCCAAATAAACCTTTCCACTCTTGAGTCATTTCCGCCGGCATTTTGATCACAGTGACACAAAGGCGGCAAATACTCTCTGAAGAAGGCCCTCTGCGTTCTCTAAAGAACATATGCTTTGAAAAGTCAGTCAAGACTTCTCCCTGGAAGCTTTGGAGCTTCAGGTGTGGGGTGTCAGCTGGCTGCAGTCTCCAGCACACACAGGAGCTCAGCCAGCCCAGACCTCTCCCATCATCCCCGTGCTGATGAACACACCCACCAGGATGGCCCATGTCACATGGGTCTTCCTTGCCCTTCGAAGCCTCCAATTCTGTGGGGTGGTGGGGCTATTTCACTTTACTTTCCATGCAGTCATGTTCACAGTCCTGGGTGCTGTGAGCCTTCTGGGCCCCCACCCACCCCCCTGCACCCAGAGTGAGCCTGGAGGCCCGATAGATCCTGACACAGGTTCTTCATGCTCCTTTAAATTTCCCAGGACAATGTCAAGCATGGTTTTGAGCACGTATCCCTTTTTTCTGAGCTCCTTCTCTTCTTGGTGGCACTTAATGTCTCATTGACTTGGTGACAGCATGTGGAGGAGGGTAAGAACTGAAAATAGGTCACTGCTTAGAGTCCAGATGGCATCTGACCAGCCACCCATATATGCACAGGGTCTTCTTTGTCATGAGAGGTGATTGCTTGGGGTGGCCCCACCCCCACTCATCTTCTCTCTCTGAACTCTCTCCCTCCCTCCCTCCCTCCAGATTGCAATGGTTTGAATATAAAATGTCCCCATAGGCTCCTGTGTCCCTAGCTGGTGTCATATTTGGGGAGGTTTTAGGAAGGAGACCTTCACTGGAGGTTTGGGTCACTGGGAGGTAGCTTTTCAAGTTTCTAGACCAGCTTCATTTGCCATCTTCTCTCTGCTTCCTGACCCGATGAGATTTGAGGACTCCCAGCCAAGGCCCCTGCCACCATGAATACTGTGGCACCTTCTCAAACTGGGAGCCCAGATAAACCTCTCCTCCTGGAAGCTGCTGCCTGTGAGGGACTTGTCTGCTGGGATAATAAAGTGATTAATACATATACTATATAATAAAAGTGATTAATACATATACCCAGCTCAGTCTTGGCCTCTGGCCCTGTGCTTAGATCAGTTCAACACAGAAGCCACCAGGCTGTGTGGAAGTCAGTGCGGAAGCCTTCAGGAGAATCCTGCTGGCGGTCTCCCTGGAGATGTCCATGCAATTGTCCGCAGAGCTTCAGGTGGGTGTGCGAGCACAAGATGCGTGTAGGCGGCACTGACAAGCGTGTAGCCACTGACAAGCCCAAGGTGCAGCCCCTGCTGAGTGCATCCTCTCCTCCTCCCCTGCCCCACCCCTGCCCAGTCAGCATGGCTACTCACCTCACAGCTTCCATCTGGTCCTTCTCCTCCAGGGAGCCCAGCCGTCTCCGGACCTCATGCAGGAGCTTGGTTCCCTGGAAGCCGCTGCCTCGGCCATCACACTTGACCACCACTGCTCCGTGGCTGCTCACCAACACTGTTTCCCAGGTTACCTCAAACCTCTCCGACACGCTCTGACTCCCTGGGGTACCGTCCCTAAAGAGATAGGTCTTCAGCATGCTGCATTGTGGTTGGCAGATAACACATCTGAGAAGGTTTCTCCTGGGGAGGGGGGCTGTGTCCTTACTTTGACCTGACCTGGTACCCTGTGCCTACTCCATTGCCTCGGGTTCTTGCTGTCTAGGATGTGTGAGCCAGGTATCATTCACATAGCTGGCATCCGAGAATCCTAAGGCATCCCAGTCATCTCAAGGACGAGTGTGTGTGTGTGTGCGTGTGTGTGTGTGTGTGTGTGTGTGTGTGTGTGTGTGTGTGTGTGTAGGTCAGAGGTTAACTCTGGTGTTATTCCTCAGGTACCATGTGACTTGTTTTGTGCTTTTGGGGTCCCTCCCTGGCCAGGTCAGGGAGGCCCAGGGACATTCCTGATTGTTTCCCCAGTGCTGCACTTACAGGGTATGTCACCATACCTGGCTTTTTAAAAACATAATTTCTGGACATGCAACTCAGGTCCTTGTATTGGTGTGGTAAACACCTTAGTTATGTCTCCCTAACTCTTCTTCCAGTGAGCATTTTCCAACATGATGACACTCTTCCTGTGTGCTTGGGGTTTGACATACCTTGATCTGCTCCCACCCTCATGCCTGTCACTTGAGTGCCCAGGATATGGGACTCCTTCAGCCGCTCCTTGGCTTAGGAACCTTCTTTATGGTTAAGTTGGAAGAAACAACACACAGGCTGGCCCAATGACTTTCCCAGTTTGAAGGGTGAGGTGCCACTCTCTCCTGGAGGCAGGCACTTGAAGCTTTCCCCGTGAGGAGGGCAGGGGCATTGCACGTGGCTCTTTCCTTCTCCATTGAGGATACCATGCTGTGGCTTCAAAGGCATTCCCAGTGAAATTTACATCATGGGGAATGGCCAGTGCTACAGACAGGGCTGGACTCAGTGAAGACAGATATGGGTGAGTGGCTCTCGTGTCATTATTATGCAGTGTCGTGCAGGGGTGTGTTGTGGGAACTGTGCTGTTTGGCCATGCTGTGGCATAAACATCAAACTGAGCAATATGAAGATGCCACTAGATGATATGATCTTACGGGACCATGGTCCTATACACTTTTTAAGGACAGAAATGTTCTCATAATCTCACTACAGTGACAATAAACCACATCACTGGTACCTGGGCGCCCCCATTGTGCTTCTACCTCTGGGGGGGCGGGTTCCGGAGTTACAGAAAGAACCTGTCCTTTGCTGACAAACCAATCTATCTTAAGATCTAAACAAGCAACATCATTTATTCTACTTCTCCCCTTAAGAGTCTACCATCCTCTTCCCCTGCGCTGCTGAGTCTGAAGAAGACACCTGGAGAAAGAAGAAGGCTGTCATACTTACACCACTAGCAATAAGGGGTAGTGGGCTGTGTCCGTGAAGGTGGCCGGCTTCAGGATCTGCATTGGCAAGCCTGGGGAAAGGTGAAATACAGCCAGGTCAGGGGCAGCTGGGGCCCGATGGCTGGACCAGTATGTACCCTGCTTCTGTGTCTGCATTTCTGTGGGTGCTCTGGGGGAGGGAAGGGAAGTCCACACAGGGAGCTTCTGCAACAACTTGGTGTGGGCCCTTGGGCAGGTCACTGGCCTTGTAGCTATCGAGGGTCTGAAGCTCAAAGGTCACCTGTCACACAAGAAGTGTGTTAACATCCTCAGGGCCCACTGGTACCTGCTGGTGGCACAATTCCACATAGGGGAAGCACTTGAGGGATGGGTCATCCCTGTCCTAGGGATGGATAGGTTTGTTTTTATCTTATGCATATGGGTGATTTGTTTATACACACACATACACATATACATACATACATACATACATATACACACACTTATATGATCTATGTCTCTATCTATATATCTGTCTATTTATCCATCTATCCATCCATCCATCCATCCATCCATCCATCCATCCATCCATCCATCCGTGTGTGCATGGTGCTTGCAGAAGTCAGAAAAGTGGAAAAGGTAGAGCTACAGACAATTGTGAGCTGCCATGTGGGTGCTGGGAATTGAATCCTGGTCCCCTGGAAGAGCAACCAGTGCTTTTAACTGCTGAGCCAGCTCTCCACCACAGAGAGATGGATATTAGTGTGCAGTTGGTTCTGGGAAAGGAAGAGAGTGAGGTGAAGGGCATGCTGAAGGCAGAGGTGAGGGAGGAAGAGAGTGAGGTGGAGGGCATGCTGAAGGCAGAGGTGAGGGAGGAAGAGAGAGTAAGGTGAAGGGCATGCTGAAGGCAGAGGTGAGGGAGGAAGAGAGCCTGAGGGAGGGCATGCTGAAGGCAGAGGTGAGGGAGGAAGAGAGTGAGGGGGAGGGCATGCTGAAGGCAGAGGTGAGGGAGGAAGAGAGTGAGGTGGAGGGCATGCTGAAGGCAGAGGTGAGGGAGGAAGAGCCTGAGGTGAAGGGCATGCTGAAGGCAGAGGTGAGGGGCACTCTCAGCCTTGACAAGTGGCTTTGCAGGTTCATACCTGACAGGTCTGACTATCTATCTGCTAGAGCCTCAAGGACAGGGCCCTAGAGAAGGAGTGGTATAGCTGTGCTGTTCTTGTGGTCACCAAGGTCACTGGGTTTGGTTGTTGGGAGATGGTGGGGTGGGAGGGGTGGGGAGTAACAATCAAACCTCAGGAAATTACCCCACTGCAGCTTCTTTGCTCAGCCTACCTCCAGAACAAGCTGGCTGCCCCAGCAGGGATTTGTTTATTGAGGGTAACTACAGCCCAGATTACCAAGGCCCAGCAATTAAATGGGAATTAGTGGCTTTCTAGTGCAATGACTGCAGACGCACCCCAGCCCTGGCAGCCTGCTCCGAAGCAGCCTTTCATTACTGACTCAACCTGACTGTTAATGGCTTGCAAATTGGATCCGAGGCTCAGGGACTGGCAGAGAGGCAGGCATTGCAGGATATCACAAAGATACCCACAAAACATGGTGTGGGGATGGACCTTCAGGAGGTAGCTGCCTGTCTGAGGAACACATGGAGGAAGCCTTTCTGAGTGGCACTTACTTTCCCAGAAGCCTTATCTGGCAGCAGAAATAAAAAACAAAACTGAGAGCAGGTCTTAGGAAGGGGATCAACATTATTCAGACTTTTTGCTCCAAAGGATAGCTTCCCCATGCCAGGTCTCAGTGGACCTGGTGGTTCCTGGTACCCTCTCCTGCCACAGTGCTGCGGTGGCCTGGGAGTGAGCCCTATTGATGCTCCTACAGGCCCTTTGTGGCTTTCCTAAGGGAAGGTGATGATGTCAGTTTCCAGAGTTTGGAGATGAAATGACAGCTGTAGGCAGATGTAAGCGATGAGGAGGAGGGGGCTTTTGGAGCTGCAAGGGAGAGGAGTCCTTTCAGGGAGGTAAGTCACATTGGAACACAGCCACAAAAGCCTGGAGCAAGGACATGTTGCAGCAGGTCAGAGTGGCACATTAGGGACAATGTACAGAGCATAGATGCAGTTCTTGGCCAGAGTAGACCATCCCAGTCTCAGGCATAGGCTTTAAAATTCCTCTCCCTCCTCGCTTCCTTTCTTTTCTTGTCCCCTTCTCAGAGATTTGACAAGAGGAAGCCTCTGGATTGGGGTGGGGTGGAGGAACTAGACTCATGGCCCAGACTGTTTCCATGTGTCCCTGACTCCAGAGCTGGATGGAGCACTCTGCTGGACACCAGGGACAACACCAGCACTTCTGGACGTAGTGTGACCTCACATGACATGATGGGGGACCTGGGGTGTTTTGGTGAGTGGTCTGGGGAGGACCACAAGGGTTGGTGAGCTGCTGGTTGCATCATGTCATACTTGGGGGCCTATGGGAGGGGGGTCCACAGTGGCCTCCCTGAAGCATGGTAATTCTTGCCTAAGCTGTGCGGTGGATGATGCTCTGGTGTCTGTGTTAACCCAAAGCCCACAGAAGGGACGGTTTACAACCCATGACCCAGTGCAGGCAGCCTTCCCACACAGCTTGGCCCAATCTCTGTTCTTTGAACACCCATGTCATTTGCTTTCTGTTGTAAATGAGTTGCCCCACTGAGTGGTCCTACTGTGTCACTTGGGGTCCTTGCTTCTTACTGCTGGGAGTGAACAGGCTGCAGGTGTCTGCTCCTCCGGGCTGTGGAGTACATGCGTGTATGCTAACAGTTCAGTAACACTGGCTCCACTGACAATCAGAACAGATGCAGCCCTCCTAGAGATGGGTCTACTTCCAGATGCCTGCAAGGCATATAGCTCCACGCTCCTTCAGTGAGTCTTGAATGCCTCCCCTAAGCCTGGCCACCCCCTCCTCTCTAGCCAGAGCTGGCAGCAGTGACTGTGGATCAGGTAGAATCCTCCCAGGAATTGAGGCCTGACCACGACTGCAGAGACACTGCCAAGAGGGATCTGAATAAAGGACTCAGGGCACCTTTGAGCTTTGGGGGTCTAAGTAACAGCTAAGTAAACAGTGCTGTGCCCAGTTGCAAGAGAACGTTGAAAGGAGAGGAAAGGAGATGAGGCTCACAGCCATTGGACACTGGGCCTTTCTAGGGTTAAGGACAATGGACAGCTATGATTTCAGGGTTAGCAAGGTTGTGCTGGGAGCCACACACGTGGAGAGATGAGGTTTTGATAACTGCCCCACTGATTCCAGCAAACAAGCTAGTGCTCACAGCCCAGCACCAAGGCAGCGGCTGGAGTGTGAAAGAAAAGGTGTAGGAGAGCAGTGTCAAGAATGCCTCAGGCAGTGACAATGACACCCTTGGATGCATTTCTCCACTGTCAAGGATGCCTTTCACCAGCTCACAGCCAGCATCTAGAGGCAGGACACCGAGCAAGGAAGATGGCATGATGTAGAAGACAGAAGGTGTTCTCCCAGATACAGTGACCTGAGGAGAGGTTCCGTACTGACTCCCTAGGAGAGAAATCAACTGCTCTGCCTGTGTTTTTTTTCTGCCAACAGATCATCTTGAGGCTTTGCATAGTGAGCTGGGGGTAGAATGGTGGCCAAGTAGGGAGGCACCTAGGTGGGGAGGCACCTAGGTGGGGTTGGAGCCTCCAATGTATTCTGTTGGCCTTTCAAAGGGCGTAAAGTGGTACTTACTGTAATCTTCTATCTCGATTTTCCGGTACTCAATCTTAGGCATCTGCCGATCATTGATGGCCTTCTGCACATGCTCATTTGCTTCCAAGTCAAAAATTTCTGGAAAAGTCAAAGTGAAGACACATTGGATCCTGGGACCTATGTGGGCCGGAGGTTGTCAGCGTCCTACACTGCTTCACAGGACCATCCCTGTAGGTTGTTTGCCGCTGTACAGAGTGACATGAGCTATCAGATAGCTCATTCAAGACCCATGATCCTAGCCTCCAATCAAGAGCTCTCTGTGCTCCATTGTCACACCTCCTTCTCCAAACACTCTGTTCTCCCTGACATTTGTCATTGGTATGACCCAGTCTACATCCGATGGGTTCAGGGAAAGCCATACTAGTTATCTGTGGGGAAAAATAGCCACCATGACCAGGAGACGACAGCAGAGAAGCCACTGGACTGCTTTATCAGCCACCCCACCCCCAGATTTCTTACTTTAACCTATAAGTTATCTGGTCTTTTGAGACTTGGAGCTGTCAATCATAGTCACAGATAGCAAAGTCCCATAAACAATGTTTTGCAATGTGAGGGCCTGGCCTCCCTCATGTAGGTGGTCTGCTTAGGGTGTCTGTACTGTGGCTTATCTGCATGGCTCTTCATTCTCAGGTTGCAATGCACAAATACCCTGTCAGAAGCTCTTTCAGCTGGAAGGGAGGAAGCCAGTTTTGCTCACCTGCTGAAATGGCCATGCAACCCTATTTCACCATCTCATATGTATTAAACACACACAGGACTTCACTTTCTTTCTTTAAGGTTGCATGTAGGGTTGGCTTTTTGCTCAATGTAAAAGGGAACTCTGTCTTCAAGGGACTCTGCCTTTAACTTGTCCAGTTTCTCGGAAGGTTTGGATTGGGAAATGTTTTAAAGCCATGGTTCTATGGAGAACCTCAGGGTCTCAGGGTCTCTCATGACCCATGTACAACAACACTGCCCCACAGGCATGGTTCTAATGGCATCAGCGGTTAACTCACAGCTGCTGTGGTCAGTTTTTTTTTTTTTGTGGGGGCACAGAATTGTGTGACTCCAGGTTTGTCACCATTCACAGAAGCAGGGATGGTGCCCTCCTGGAGGGGAGGTGTGTGGGAGAATTCCTATGCCTGTGATGAGCTGATAAGCTGCCGAAAATGACTGGCAAGCTACCAGCCACACATGGCCATTCAGCTCGGACTCTCACCTTAGACAGTCAGTAGCCAATCCTGAGTTTCTGCTTGAGGCTCTCCCCCTGTTCCCAGTGTGGCCTTTTGCTACCCCTCCAAGACTGTCACAAATGAAACAGGATTGAGAGAGCCTCCAGTGGTCTCAGGAAGCCTAAGGCTCTGTGAGGTCTCAGAGTTCAGGCTGCCTGAGGAAACAGGACTGACTGCTAATCATTCCCTGCTCTGTGTGTGATGCCAACAATGAAATGAAAAGCAAGCATTCAGTAAATTAATTGTAGAGTGTTGGGTGCTTGAAAGACGCAGGGAAGTTACTATTCAATGAGTGCTAGGATTCTAGCCCCATTCACTGACAGTCCCAGACCAAGCTTAGTGTAAGAATCAGGGCACAGACCTTAAGATGCTATCTCAAGCTTCAGCACACAGAAGTCCCTATAACCCTCGTGCTGGCTGGTTTTATGGCCACTTGACACAAGCTAAGGTCATCTGGGACTAGGAAACCTCAGTTGAGAGGATGCCTTCATAATATTGGTCTGTAGGCAAGACTTTCTTGATTGATCATTGATGTGGGAGGGCCCAGCTTAAGATGGGTGGTGTCACCCCTGGGCTGGCAGTCCTGGGTTCTATGGGGTATAGGCTGAGCACTCCATAAGGAGCAAGCCAGTATGGAGCGCTTCTCCATGGCCTCTGTTTCAGTTCCTGTCCTGGGTTCCCTGGATGAGCTCTATGATGAAATAAACCCTTTCCTCTCCAAGTTGCTTTTGGTCATGGTGTTTCATCACAGCTCTAACTAAGACAACTGGGAAGACACTTCCATTGTCACCCCTCTTCCTGAATGTGTGATTGACTTAGGTGTGGCATGGGGAAGAGACCTGGGCGTGTGAACAGGGGTTGGCTGCAAACATGGGAGTGCATGGATATGGGTACAATCAGCGAAGGCCCAGCCAAGATGGGTATGATAATCCCACTCAGCTTCTTCCACCAGGGACCCGTGGAAGTGGTAAGTGCCAGGACCAATTCAGAGCCTCCCATAATTGGCCCAACTCTCCTTATGTATAATTTGTATGAACCGGCTCAAATTTGACCCCTAGAATCTTACACACTGTTCTGGAGGAGAAGTTCAAACTCAGATCACAAGAGTGAGCAGCTGCCCACCCAGCTCTGTTCTCCCAGAGTGAATACAGACACAGCCAATCACCCATGCCCGGCCCTGGCAGTTCTGGCCTTGTGTGGGGCGTAGCAAGTTCTAATCACTCACTGACTGTTCAGGCTGCCTTTGAATAGCTCCCTCCTCTCTATTGAAATCCTACCTTCTGCAGAAGAGCACCAAAGCAACAGACTATTAAATTTAGTTAAATATTAGATTTCTCATTTAATGATTGCCCACACAGCCGGGTTTATCAGCAGAGAACTGGCGGTCTCACAAGGGAGTTGAGTTAAGCTAGTTTATTTGTTTCCCTAATTGCATTCAAAGAGGGCAGGAGCTCAGAGGAGAAATAAGAAAAGATCGGTGCATTCCCGGAGGACTCTGCCTTTGACTTCAGGGCAGCAGGGACCTCCAGGCTGCAGCACACACATGGCCACTCCTTAATTAAATGTGAGCCCCTCTAATATTTGGTGGAATTAGCTATTATCAGATCTGGACACAGTGAGCCCACAGAGACAAACGTCTGCTTAGGAAGCCACTCCCAGAGCTGTGTGGCCTGGCGGGCTGTTCCCACATGGCCCTGGGGCTTGGAGCAATCACCACTATGCAGAGTCATTGGAAAACTGGTGACCAGAATGCAATGGAAAGCACAGGCAAATGGTCTAGAGGGGAAGGGGCTTCCTGGCCCTTGGCTTTGGGGTTTCTTCTCTGCAGGCTCTGACTCTCTAGGCTGTTGTAGACAGATGTGCACACTGCATTTCCAGCAGCTCCATGCTGCATGGGCTTCTGATGGTCAGGCAGTCCCATCCCCCTCCTCCCGCCCCTGGCCTTTTTCATTGCTTCCCCATGCATCGTTCTTCTCTGTGCTTGTTCTTTGTGGCAGAGGCCACCCATCAACCCCAGGCTACATCTCTCAGCTAACTCAAAGAGCAGACCCAGAAGTACAAGGATTTTTCAACTTGCTCACCTCAACTGGACCTCTTACTTTAAGCCCTCTGTTTCCTTGCTACCGTCAGCTTGACAGCTCATGACACAGAGTGACTGCTCTTTGGGCCATGTCTCTCATTGACTCCCTGGGTAGATGCTGAGCATCTTGAAGGCAGCGTTCAGCTAAATGACCTTATCTCCAGTCACTCCAGCATCGTGCTGGACATCATGATGAAGGCTGTGGCGTATGTTCAACATCCAGGGGCACTATACTCATGGCGGGTGGTGCTGGGATTGGCACACTGGTCAGCTGCTGGTGCTTTGGAGCCCCCTGAGAGGTGCTTGCAGGAAGAGAGGTCTCTGGGTCTCCCTTGGTTATCTCTATCGACACCTGAGGGTGTGGACACTAGGCATCTGGCTTATGCTCCACTTGGCATTTATTATGTGCCAGCTTGCCTATCCAGGATTCTATAATGAGACATCAAAGCTGGCATTGACCCTTCCCTGAAGGTTGCTGTGTGACCCTCTGGATCCAGAAGACTTTTCACAATCAACAGAAGGTTTTGTGGAATTGGTTCCTAGGCCTCTGCCTTATGCGTTTGGTTTGTGCCCATGTCCTTTCCATCAAGGCCTCACACACAAGTGAAACAGACCTTTGAGTGCCTTATCTGTTCCTGGACCTCCTGCCAGCAGGTGGACTCCACATCGAGGACTTGGGACCACTAGGTCAGGGTTGACCTAGACAATTCCTGGTGATGGGCAAGGACTCTGGCAACACAGAAGGTTTGTGACCCTTTGACATCAGCAAAACTGCCAAGAGATCTGACTAAACTTGAAATAAATACACCTCTAACTGTTAACCTTGTACGTAGATAGGTTGCCATTTTTTTGGCATACAACATGGAAGGAGTTTTTAAAAGGTGGAGGTTGCTGGAGAGATGGCTCAGAGGTTAAGATCACTGGCTGTTCTCCCAGGGGACTCAACTCAATTCTCAGCATCCACAAGTGACTCTCAAGTGTAACTACAGTTTCAGAGGATCCAATGCCCTATTCTGGCCTCTGAAGGCACACGGCATCCAAGTGAGGCACAGATAGATATGCAGGGAAAAAAAAACACCCTCACACAGAAAACAAAATTAAAACAAATAATGGAGTTACTAGAATTCTTCTCCTCCACCTACTCCAAAACTTTTGGAACACCTTCAAAAACAAAGGGCCCAGTTACCACAGAAGCAGGAGAAGGCAAACAGTGTTTCTCACAGATGTATTTAAGGATTAGAGAGACGTGCCCATTCATACACCACAGCTGTGGCCCTGGGAGAGCTCACTCCCGTTATACTAATGGTGGCATCGGAGTGTAGCTGCTTTGTGTGGACCTGTGACAATTCATTATGGCTTTATGGACACAGCAACTGTAAAAAAAAAAACATTTAAATGATTTCATGTCTGTACAACATTGGCACAGAATTCTAGGGGAGAGGGGGATGTCAGTATCAGTTTAAAGAGTGAAAAGAAGGATGCAAAATTCTGACTATTGAAGAAGAAATGTTTTAAAACTGTTAGAAGGGATGAGGTTGGGGATGAATTTGGATCCCATAGGATCATGTCATGACTCTTTGCCCAAATGAAAACATCTTTAGTGCAGCTTTTCTTGTTCTTTTCTGTCAGGGCTGTGTGCATGCTAGCTAGGCAAGTGCTCGCCCACTGAGGCATACCCCAGCCCTATTTAGCGCTTTCTCCAGGAAAAGCTCTCAGATAACTTTCTAATGCATTATTTGTGGACTGTTGACTCAGTTTACATTTAAATGGGCGTGTGTCTAGGCAAGTAACCTTGGCTGGCCTGGAACTCACTATGTAGACCAGGCTTGCTCTAAAGTCATAGAGATCCACCTGCCTCCTGGGCTGGGATTAAAAGCGTGCATCATTACACATGGCTGATTTTTCTTTTTTCCACCTACCAAATTGCTCCTGAAATATCTGAAACCTGTAGTTATTTGATACAAATTTGCTTTGTGTGCTGTAAGAGCTGGGGATAAATTGGGCACCGGGACACAGAACTGGCACAGTCCCTCTCTGTGCATTGTGCACACGCCCTGTCACCAGAACCATTCTCCATGGCTGTGGCTGGGCAGGCTGTCACCAAGGCCTGGCTATACTTCCTGAGAGAAGAATCCCACCTTGCAGCCACAGCCTGGAAGTCTCTGGCACTGTCTTGGGACAGATGCCACAACAGATGAGTGTCCATTTGGCTTGTCACTTCTGTGCCAAAGGAGATCTGCTGCAGGCTATTCTCTTGTTATGCTGGGCAGGAGAGGAGCCAGGCTTTTGAGGGCCAAGGGCTATAAACAAACAAACAAACAAACAAACAAAAAACCAAAACAAAACTGCAAGACCCTGATTAGCATGGGCCTCTTGTCCCTGAACTTTGGGGGAAGGTGCCTCTGTTTAGTTGTTTAGAGACAGGGTCCTATGTACCCGAGGTTGGCCTCAACTTGCTATGTATCTCAAAATGACCTTAAACTTCTGATCTTCCTGCCTCTACCCCCCTGAGTGCTAGGATTTCAAGTGTAATCCCATGTCCAGTCTATCTGCTGCTGGGGAGGCAAACACAACTGAGCTACATCCCCAGCTCACAAGGTGGCTCTTGAGTCCCCTTCTTATCTCTGTTCCCCTCCCTCCCCTCCTTTTCTTTGCCAGGGAGAAAAGAACCCTCATTAGCTGTGTTCTGTGCTCCTCTGCCCTTTTATTCTCCATCTGCAGTGACCTTGTGCCCTCTCAACCCATCAGGCCTTCCTACCTCTATTGCTCATTGATATCAGATGTCTCCTCGGAGGGGAGTCTGACAGGCCACCTCAGGTCCTGCGGGGCAACAGTCTAGCTCTGTAGCACTGCACAGAGGCCCTTCATAACTGCGTACATTCTTGAGTGTTTTGTGCCTGGTGGGTGATACTCAGTAGTGGGTAGGAAGGGTGGGGATGGCCCACAGTATGCTCAGAGGGACAGAGAGATGATTGTCCAGTGGGCTTCACACAACTGCCAACTGGGTTGGTTCTTATGTATACAAAATACACTAACAGGGCTGGGAGTGTAGTTCAGTGGTAGAGCATTTTCTGAGCATGTACATCAAACAAATATAACAACGAATACCCCCCAAACCACCAACCAACCTCCAAACAGACTGCATAGAATGTGGGGAAGGAGAGAAACCTGTCTTCTGTGTGATGGATGTGTGGAGCCCAGGAAGCCTGAGTGGACCCCTGAGTTCTTGAACTGGCTTTCAGGATACACAGGTGGGCAGGATGGGGGCGTCCACAGATACAGCCCATGTGACGTCACCAGTGCACTCATTTTCTCCCAGAGGAAGGACAGCTGCCTGTGAACCGTCTGTGATCCCAGCACTCTCCCATGTGGGGCCGAGCCAACATCTGCCTTCCACTCCCATCTACGTGAACGCCAGAACCAGCAGCCAGCAGATGTGGCTCCTAGCAGATGTGGCTCTGCTGGTATCCTCCCGTCTCTGAGTGGTGAGATGCCTCAGGCACACGAGGAGCCTTTGGTGCCCATGATAATGACATTCTTAAGGAAACAGCTTCTAAATAATTCAGAGTCACATCTGTCAACACCCCACAGGCTTGGTTTGGAGATATGATTTCCTAAAGTGGGGAGAGTCAAGTATCCCCAGGGGCAGGGAGGCTGGGGATGAGGATAAGAGAGAGGACCAAGGTCTCTGTATCAGTAATTCCAACTTTCCCATCAAGGCTGTGCTAAAACAGAATGACAAGCCTCACCGTCATCCAGCCATAGCCCTCCTGATGGCCCAGCTCCCTTACCATGCTTGTAACCAACACAGGCCGCTCTAGGCAAGGTGTCCTACAGTTTTCTTAGAACCTCCTGTTCTTGAACTCAGTGACTTGCACACTTGCCCTCTGAATGCACTGGACTGCAATTTCCCCAGAGAAGCCCAGGGACCACTCAGGTGTGTTCCCAATAAGGAGGAGCCCAGGGGCTATGCGCACGCTGACCTAGCAGTAGAAGGTGCAAGAGCCTCTGATTCAGGGTTCCCTCAGCAAATTGCCAGCAGAGAGACTGGAACAGGGGCCCAGAGGCTACTGTTTCCTTGGCAACCAAGGCTGGAGCTCCTGGGTCCAGGCAGCTGAGCAGTCAGTGGCTGTGGAATGCTGGACAAACACATGGAGAGCTTCATATTTCCTATTCTTTCAGATTTTACAGTCTTTGAATATTCCATGGTTTGTCTGGGCATGAGACTCAAGTTTGAACTAGACTGCTTTCTGTTTCATGGACACGGTAACCCCTTGGCCTGAAGGCAATTTCAGATGATATAATATAACTGCATCTAAACTGCGACTGCGCCCATCACATGTCGAGATGTTTAGATTCAAGAAGTTCTAGATTTTGGAGTGTTTGTCAGGTGGTGGTGATGCACGCCTTTAATCCCAGCACTCGGGAAAGCAGAGGCAGGAGGATCTCTGTGAGTTTGAGCCCCGCCTGGTCTACAGCACAAGTGTTTGGATTTTGGATTTTCAGGTTGGGGATTTTCAGCCTTTAAAGGAAAAAAACACTCTGAGGAGCCACCTTTTTTGACTGGAATTGCAACCTACCACTTGGACAATTCATCCAAGGTCCATGCCTCCATTCTCCTAACCTGTGATGAGAAGTCCACAAATGCATACAGTATTCTAGATGGACCTGGCCCTACATGGGCCATAACACATGCTGAGAAGCTGCTGGCTTCAGGGGCCCTGCCTGGAAGACAGCAGTCTGAATGGGTAAGAGGATGAGCACAGAGCATCTGGTTGCTAAGTGACACTCTGTGGCCTTCTGCAGGTACCCACTGCAGGCTGGTGAGGTAGTGGGCTTCAGGCTAGGCTGCTGCTCTGCATCTTTACCGTGCTCCTGGAACTTCTTCAGGGGCTTATTAATTTTAAGTCTCTCTCTTTCTCTCTCTGTATGTTCACCCGCAAGTATGGGCATGAGCATATCATGGCACATGCGTGGGGGTCAGAGGACATCTTTTAGTGGTACAGGTCCTCACCGTCCACTATGTTTGAGACAGGATCTTTTTTGTTCTCTCTTCAGGTTTTTTTTTTTTTTTTTTTTTTTTTGAGACAGTGTTTCTCTGTGTGTATCCCTGGCTGTCTTGGAACTCACTCTGTAGACCAGGCTGGCCTGGAACTCACAGAGATCTGCCTGTCTCTTCCTCCTGAGTGCTGGGATTAAAGGCGTGCGCCACTGCCACCACCACCTTGTGCTCCAGGGTTTTTTTTAATCATGGGAGAAAGTGACTGATTTGAAACCTACCTGGATCCTAAGACTGGCCCATGATGCATCAGCTTTGCTGCCTGCCTGAGGCATACATCCATGGTGTGCAGCTGTGCAGACTGTTCGCCTGGCACAGAGACTGCCAAGAACTTGTGACCATGGCATGGACAAGGTACTATCACCCAGACTAGCAGCCCAGGGGTGGGAGGTATGTGTGGCCTCACCCAGAAGTTACTAGTTTGACAGATAAGAGATAAGCACAGGGCATTACATTCAAGGCTGTCATTTCAAGTGGTGTTATGCTGGACTGTGGCATGTTGTAGCAGGCTTGAAGTCACCGAGAGAGAGTCACTTGCTCCCACAGATACCTGGAGGCCAGACACAGTGCTGGCCCTGACACTTGACCAGGGTTTGCAGCTCAGCTTTCCCTTCCAGGCAGACCTGGCCTGCTCCTCTCAGAGTGGACACTCTCAGGAGCTGCAGAAGGCAGCAGACTGGCATTGGAGAGTCAGAGCTTTGGGATCCTGCTCAGACAATTCTTTGTAAGCCATTTGCATTCTCTGTGTTGGAGACAGACACCCCACAGACTAAGTTCAGACTATAAACTTTTCATCTGTGAGCCACGTGAGCTCACTAGAGCATTTGCTGTGGCTTGCTTGCTGCTATATTAACTTTTCACAGCTGAGCCATTTTTCTAGTTCAGGGGTCTTAATCACCCTGTTGCATAGATTCCCTGTGTTATGGATATGACCATCTGACCTGTAGGCAGATAAACCTCTCAGTGCCCATGGAACCTTAGAGAAGACAAGGGTTAAGTCATTTATGGACTGCTGTTCAAATCCAGCTAGTCTTGGGGCTACACCCAGAAGATTTCAACTATGACCTGGGTTATCTGGGGAATGGGCACCCAATCTCAGCACTCACAGGCTGTTGTGGACCATAGACATTTTCAGGGACATCATGGACCCTCAACTGGGTCACACTGGTCCTCATGACTATTTTATTTATCACCAGTAGTGGTTGCTAGAGGAGCCCATGGGACCTCAGGGCCTAACCATCCCTAGGCCCTGGAGTTGGGGGTGGGGTTGGATTATCTCATGAACCTTGGCTTCTACTCCCCAGTGTCAGAAAGATTTCAGAGGAGCAGCACTTACTTCTCTTATCCGTGGTGTTATGCACGGTCACAGTGGGTACACCAGGGCCTGGATCCGGAGAGCAGAGAGACCGCAAGAGAAAAAATAAGGTCATTAGTTTAGAACAAAAGAAGAAAATAAGCTTTGCTTATGACACATGGACTGTCTGGGTCTAAAGGATAATGCAACCAGAAGAGACATGGCTCTCTAATATCACAGCCAGGTTCATTACCAGCATCCCTCTTCAGGGTACACTTGGGTATTGGACAAGTGGGTTCACAATAATGAGGTCCTGAGTTTGGATCCCTAGAGCCCACACGAAGGGCCAGTGGGCTTGGCATCCCCCCTGCCGATTCCAGCCTCAGAAGGCAGATATAGAGGATCCCCAGAACAGGCTGAGTAGTGAGATGAGCAGTACTGGCATGTCTGCCTCAATGAACATGGAGGAAAAGCAATGGATGATTCCTGACGTGAACCTCAAGCCTCTACATGCATGTACACACACAAGAGTGTGTGCGTCCACACTCACACACACACACACACATGCGAGTATGCAAACATACATGAAAATGGAAAATGAAAGACAATTGATGTTATGATGGTGCCCTCTTGGAGGGTATCCAACCTGTGCTTTGCTTATTAGCTTCTGAAGGAAGCCCTGGCTAATCTGCTTTTTCTGTGTGCTCTGCAAGTCTTTGAACAAGACAGACAGGTGCTCGATTCCAACAGCTACCACCCGTCACTCCTGTACAGGTTTCCAGATCACCACATGGCACAAATTGCCACTTTACAAAGTACTGAATTTGGATTAAGGCCCTGTAGCCCCATTTTCACTACTGAGCCACAGGGCCAGGATGCATTCCTGGACTCTGCATATATTACTCAAGCCTCAAGCTTGAAAAAAAAAATGGTCACCAGAATCCTGGAAGGAAGCCACCATAGTCTGCAGTCTGTGACTTCCTGTGATGCTTTTGCAAACTCCCCAGTGTGTGGGGAATGGTTTTTGAATATGTGAATCTGTTCACTGAGCACCTTCAATGGGAAGCTTCCCAGCTTCAGGCTGTTTGGCCTCAGGAGTTAGGAGGAAGCTCCCAGGACAGTAAGTAGCCCCTGCTCAGCCACCCACGGGTTCACTGCTACCTTCAGCAATAGCAGGGCCAGGAAGAAGGCTTTCTCAATTATTTTCGTTTGATGGATGCATGTTTACCTTCTAAGCTGGGGACCTTTCCCAACACCGGCTTGCCTCTATTGCTCTCTGCAAGCTTGGGTCTGCCAGCTGTGCCTGCTGCAGGGTCTGAGGGAGGCTGAGATGTCACCCCCCCAACCCCCAGCCACTTTGCTCCTCCTGACTCCAGATATCAGCATGGATTGTCTTTCCATTCTCTGATGGAAAGCCTTTCACTGCCTAGTCTGAAAGAGCACCTATCCATGACCATAGGGCTGGTCACTTACTCGCCTTCTCTTACAGGACACCATGGCAAAGACTGTGAGGTTAGGACCTTGGACATTACAGGCATGCTGGTTCTTGTTCCTTAGGACACAGCATTAGGACACAGCTCCATGATGGGCAAGAGCTTGTTCATCCAGTGCTGCCATTTTCAGCATCAAGACACATCCTAAGAGTGATGCCGAAAGAGTGAGATGGACACTCAGGAGATGCCACCCTGTGGGCTGGGGTGGGGACTGAGCAGCGATAAAAGGAGAAAGAGCAAGCTTGAGGTGAGTGGACAGAGAGGGATGTAGGATAGCATTGCCAGGGTGCCTGGGGACTGGGGGGGTGTCTTGGATGTGTGTGTGTGTGTGTGTGTGTGTGTGTGTGTTTGTGTGAACAATGACACAGAATGCATATATAGGAAGAGCAATGCTGGGGCTTTGCATCTGCAGAGTGACTGTCAGACTTCCTGCATACTTCTAGGGTCCATGTGACAAATGGCTAAGTTGAGGACCAGTAAAGATCTGGAGAGTGGACTGCCTGGTTCAGGTCCAAGGAGAATGCTCTGTGTTGATAGGCGAGTGAGGCAGGCTCAGCCAGAGTGTTCTGGGGTGTGCTGCTGGCTAGAGTCACAGACTGAGGTCACAGCAGAGCAGAGACTGGCTTCCCCGGGACTGACACAGACACACTTAGTGTACACAGTGAAGGTCCAGCTAGCTATGCCCCTTGCTTATCCATCCAGAGACAGGCTGGTTAGGAAAGAAAATGGAGGCTGCTTGGTTACCTGTATATTTCTGAGAAGCAATGGCAACTTTTTTCACTATAAACATATCCCTGTTGTTTGCCTAAAACTCACACATGCGTAGGCAGCCAGTACTTTTCTTTGCTGACTCCAGTACTCTTTACCTACAGGGGAGAAGCAATGGAACATCTGTCTGTGCACCCCGATGGGCAGGTAAGCACTGACCTCGGGGTTAAACTAAGTGCCCCTGTTCTGCCATCCCTTCCCCTGGGAGCCCGTGCAGAGAGCAAAGCAGCCGTTGAGAGATAAGGAGCCTACAGCTATTTGCTGTGCACATTTTGCTGTGAGAAAATCTGCAAACAGAGCATGCCCCATGCTCTTATTAATAATGTAAACAATTATTATTTATTCAGTGCCTTCTATGTAAAAGGCATCCTGGTAACTCTCTCCTATGAATAATTTCAAGTCAATCTCCAGAGCGCTTCTGCAGAGACACTTCAAACAGTTTACAGACAAGAAAACAGTGACAGAGCAAGCTTTAAGTCTTTTGTCGCAGTCACAGAGCTTGGATGAGGTTTCATGTTCTAGTACGGTGACTTAATACATGTCTCGAAACAAAAATTCAAATAGTAAAGAAAGGGACTAAGTGACAGCTAAAGGACCCACTTCATCCTCTCCTCCAGAAATGAACCTAAACCCTTCTAGAACATCCTAGTATGTGTCTGTACATATGTAGTCACATTTATATATAAGCAGTTTAAAAACTTTTATTATAAAAAGTTGCAAATAAAAAAAATCATATGCAAAATTACCAGACCCAAAGTTTGTACAACTCAATGAACTTCTATACCATTAGAACAGCCATTTGACACAGAGCTGTGTGGCTTCACATTGGATTTTACACATTCACTATTGAATATATTTTATGCAATTATCCGACACCAAACATGAAAATTCCATGACAGCTAGAACTAGAGCAGCTTTATATTTTCTTTCATAACTATGTTGTAAGGTTGTCCTGGAACTAACTTTGTAGACCAGGCTGGTCTTGATTTAACAAAGGTCTTCCTGCCTCTGGCTTCTGAGTGCTGGGATTAAATGTATTCACCACAACACCAGTCTTATTATATATATATATTTTAAGGTTATTTTTATGTGTATATATGTGCATGTACACCTTTGCCCCAAGTCCTCTGGAACTGGAAATTACAGACAATTGTGAGCTACCATGTGGGTTCTGGGAATCGAACCTGGGTTCTGTGGAAGAGCAGCCAATGCTCTTAACAGCAGAGCCATTGCTCTAGCCATTATTATTATTATTATTATTGTTATTATTATTAGTTTTTTGATACAGGATTTCTCTAGGTAGTCCTGACTATCACAGAGATCCTCCTCCTGCCTCTGTCTCCTAAGTGCTGGTTATTAAAGGCATGTGTCACCAAGTCCAGTTCTGTTTTTTACTGTTTTTACTTATGAGTAGGTATGTGCGTCTGCATTTGTGATGGCATTGACATATCAGGAGGACATTCTGCAGGGCCAGACACAGAAAGATGAGCACACTTCCCGAGATGCTTAGGAGGGGGTAGAATGTTGGTGACCAGGGCTTTGGGAGGCTGGGAGGAAATGCTGGACAAAGGATACAAAATTTCCCCTGGACAGACACGAGAAATAAATTCAGGTGGCCTTCATACCACTGTGACTGTGGTTGTTAGAAATGTGTTGACACTTTGCTCAGCCTAGACACAGGGGAGAGAGCCTTGGTCCTGCCTCAACATGGTGATGGGACAGACTTTGTTGACTCCCCGTGGGAGGCCTCACCCTCTGTGAGAAGTAAGAGGCAGTGTGGTGCGGGGAAGGTGGGGAGAATGGGAGAGGAGGAGGGACAGGGAACTGGGATTAGTCTATAGAAAGAAACGATCTGCGTCTCTGAAAACCAATAGGAAAAATGTGCCTTCGGCAGCGTTATATAGCACACCTCAAGGTCACACGCCTTGTACGGTCTTCATGTCTGCTCTCGGTCCCACTTTAATTGCACAGTTGCTAATTTAATGCCAACTTGGAAGTTAGTGCTTTGTCCCATGGCTGTTGGCATTTCTCTTGTGTTCTTCACGAGTGCTGCCAGCACAGGAGGGCGCAAACACACTCGCTGAGCTGCAACTTTCAAAAGTGAAACTATTTCTACCCCACCCAGACAGAAAGACACATACTACCCCACCCGGACAGAAAGACACATACCACCCCACCCAGACAGAAAGACACATACCACCCCACCCGGACAGAAAGACACATACTATCCCACCCGGACAGAAAGACACATACACTGAGCCCCCACTGACCCCGGGAACAATTCTATGTCCCTTCCCACTCCCTACCCCATATAATGCCCACTGAACAAATGAGGGATTAATGAATGGCAAGTGCCAACTTGGCCATGACTAGAAATTAGGCTGATGAAAGGTCTCTTGAGACTATGGCTTTCTCACTAACTGCCACCAGTCACTGTCTTCATTCACAGGTCTGAGACCTATGTTATAGTTGGGCCATATTATGACTCTAACATAACAAACTTAGACTGGCCAAGTATACTACAAGTCAAACTATACTAAAGAATACACTGAACAAGTTTATAGACCACCCAAAGGACCCTTCTATGTTCACAGATTATAATATTATTTCCCCCAACCCATGCAGAGTCCTGACCCATGTTCATCATGCTTTATTGCTCCAACAATACTGGTGGGAACATCTCTGGAGGGAGGGCTCTCTGTGGATTGTGGTTTTAGCCCATAGTTCATGGTTTCATTGTTTCTCAGTCATGCTCAGGTCTCAGTGGGGAGTGTGTGGTGGAGTAGATTGACTCACCTCATGGTAGATGAAAGACAGAGAGAGAGAGAG